TCTGCTGCACAAAATGAGTCAGATCTTTTTATAATCTATGTCCTTTGCTTGTAAATAACCAAACAATATATTACATCCTTAAGCCCTTAACAATATTCTAATAAAACAATCTAAGAAAAATGACTCTTCAGTTGTTGTTCAATTTTATTTTCATTTTTAAGAACTAAGATCTAAAACCCAACAAAGCTAATAGAACAATGAGAAGAAAAAAAGGAAAAAAGGAAATAATCTACTCAAAATTCATCCAAATCCCTGGTTTTACACAAACATCCTGCAGTTATTGTGTTCACTGTTTGGGTTCATTGTACAGTTTATCATTTGTTCTCTACTGTTATTGTTATGCAGTGAATATAATATGAAATATCCATAAAATATGTCAGGGGTTGTCAGTTTACAGATTGAAAGAAAAGGGGCCCCTAAAGTAAAAAGGTTGGGAACCACTGGTATAGGTTATATCTGATATAGTACCTATTAATGAGGCAGGTCTTCCCCACATTAAGGTCTCCAACCACCACCACTTTTGACATTTTCTGTCGGTCCCACCTTTAAAGAAGACAACAGATTTATCATCAGTAAAATATAAATGTTTTTAATGTGATGTTTAAGCAAAGCTAAGAATAATGCATTGACCCTAAAAGTGGGAAACTCACGGCTGATGCCTGGCCGCTCTGTCTTTACAGGCTGCTTTAGCCTGAAGGTCCCAGTCTTTCCTCGGCTGTAGAGAGACCTGAGGTGTGTAGCACTGAAAAAAACAGGACCATATACTACTGCCACTTATTCTGAACAAAGCCACTGACTACCTGTTATAACCAGATTAAGTGTAGGCTGATGTCCGCATGCTAGTATGCTCACAATGACAATGCTAACATGCAGATGTTATGTTTACCATGTTGACCATCTGGGTTTAATGGTTACAACATTTACCAAATAGTAATATACATGAAGTACAGCTGAGGTTGATGGGAATGTCATTCATTTTGCAGGTATTTGGTAGGGATGTGCATTTCCATCACCGAGGCCAATGTCACCTTGGTGCACTGCCATTGTAGAGAGGAGAAATCTATCTAAATTTAAAATGATTGGTCACATTTCTAAATAAGAAAGGCATAGGGCCTCTAAATATATATATACAAATCACTTTTTACTGATGCAAAAATGTTAATAAATGATGCATCCCAAGTTAATCCCAAATTGTGTATGATGCACACTTTTTTATTCAGAGCAATCACGTCTTTTGTCAGACTGGATAAACAGTCAGTGTATGACAGCTTCTGGCAGACAACCACAACGCTGACGCATACACAAAGGGGATATGACGCCATTGACAGGTGGAGAAACGCAGTTACCTGAATAAAATGACAGATTTCTCTGAGTTTGAACATTGTTGGAAACATTTGGGATAATGGAAGAAAACAACTCAACTACATATAGAAAATAGAGCTAGAGTTTATGGACAGTTTAATTCGGAAATGTTACATGCTATATCTTTAAAAACACAGTTTAAGATATTTTAGGACTAATAATAGTAATAGTACTAATAGGTACTGGCATGCATTGGGCAGAACCACTAGCAGGATTCTCAAGCAAACAAGGAATGACTGCTGCACTGAGAACCTGAGAGCTTATCCCATTAGAAGCCAAAGTAGATTCCTTTCCGAATAAAGTGCCTTAATGTATTATCTGGAGAAGTCTCAGAGGACAGATGTTGACTGAGTCTGTGATTGGGTAGCTGACTGTAACCGCCTATAATTACCCTGAGTACTGTGATCTGACACTGATTTAACTATCTAAGAAAGTTAGGTAGAAGTCACACGTTTCCAATAAAACATCCTCTAGACTGCCGCTCCTACCATTCGAGCACAGAGCGATCTCACAGTTTTTTTTTTCCTGGGCTTGGATTAAACTGCAAAACAAAAACAGGTTGTACCTTTGGGAATTCCCAGATAACCCTGTCTCTGCCGATGGGTGGTGGGAATGGCATCATTCCATTCCTGTTATCCTGCATGACAACCTGTGAGAGAATGCGTAACAGGAGTTATCTAAATCTAATTCAGTCTAATACCAAGCACTCTGTCAAAGTGTGTGTGCATTTTTACAAAGGTCACATGTTCTTTAAACCAAACACAGCATTTAGATCAGTGTTCATCTACATACAGTATAATGTGTGTACACACAAACAAAAATGGTTGCTACTGTTTGTGAGTGTCAACATTCATATATAACCTTGAATTGTGTGAGTGTTGACTGGTGGGGACGTTAAAACACTAGTATTCCAGCTATTATAGTTATAGAGGATGCTAGTGAGGCTGCTGCACTGTTAAGTTAGCCAGTAAAAGGTCGGAAGTAGAGTGAATCTGCCTTTAAAATAAAAGCAGACAGAATAAAAGTGCATTCTGTATTGCCAATTATGTTGTGTTTGGTATTTATTTTCTGTGTTTTTTTAATTTCCTCCCCCTGCCCCAAACACTAGCACACACTCGCTAGCTTGCATACATTGTCAGCGAGAATTTCGGTTTTAGTTTGAAGGTCTTGAACGGAAGTGGTGTCACATTTTGTTTAGCATGCTGCGACACATACGGCGACAGATACCGCAACCAACGCCACTGGCTATTATGTGGGCTCTTTTCTTTTCAAAATGGCCCTCTGACACACTGTGCTTCACACCACTAACACACTGGACGGCTCGTACTCACCGCAGATGAAATTACGTCAAATATCTCCTCGCTGGCTGTTTACGCTGGCTGTGTCGCTCGCCGCAGTGAAGCCTCGGACGCTGTTTGATGAGGAGCTCGTTTCCATGACAACCATACCCTTGCCTGCGTCACGTGATAATTGGACTCTTCTTATTGCACGTGGTAAAGAAAGTGAGGCCCGTTACAGGGTCCCATGAAAACCCTACCAAAGCAAATAATGCTTATTTCCACAATAATATGCCTGATGTGCCAATACACAAGATTTGACATTAGTCTGTTTGTGCCATAACATGCAGGTCAAAAGGAATGTGTTCACTACTATGCAACTATGTAATAATATACCTTTTTTTCCAGCAGCCATTTTGACCTACAGTTGTTGGTAAACACAGGTGTTACTAATGACATTAATGAAGGTTCTGTGTAGGTACAGCATTAATGTGATGCATTAATATGTAAGTAGCATTTTACTGCAGCAATAGACAATGTGGAAATGATTGCACTAACTAACGTTTGGACTGCTGGGAATTTTAATCTGCAAAAACAGATCGCTTTACTAGAATTATGAAAATTAAATATGGTTTTAAATATAAATACATGAAACAAATTGTTATGTATTGAAAACATGTAAAATATTCTTGCTGCACTGGCAGATAACAAATAATACTCTACTTTAAGGACTTCGTTACAGACTCAAATGTCTTTTAAGAGAGGATTATTTTTAATTTGACAATGCATCATATTTTGGAAGATGATCATATCTAATGAAAAATAATCTGCAAAATCAGAATTATAGCTCACAAATACATTTTATTATTGCACTTTATTTGGATAGATACATACTTTATAGAGTATTTGTAACATTTCAACAGCTTATTTACATCTTCTTTGCTGTGGTTTGCTGGGGAGGAGGCATCGGCACTGGGGGTGCCAACAAGCTGAGCAAGCTGGTGAGGAAGGCCAGCTTGGTGGTGGGGATGGAGCTGGACAGTGTGGAGGCTGTGACGTAGAAGAGGATGAGAGGGAAGCTGAAAGCCATCATGGACAACCCCTGTCATCCTCTCTAAACTGAGCTCAGGCAGCTCAGGAGAACTTTCAGCTACAGACTGACCCAGCCCCGAGCCTCAAAGCGGTTTGGAGGCTCATTTGTACCATCAGCCATCAGACTCCACAACACCACAGCACCTCCAACCCCCGCAGACAAAGACTGGTTTAAAACTCCTACCTACAACACACAAACTTTTTGTACTACTATTTATATTTAATTTCTACATGTAGTTTAGTTTTTAGTCAAACTGCTCAAATATTTGCACCCCATTCTTACATAGTGTATATACTTTCATTTATAGTCTTATATTTTCTATTATATTTTGTAATATTTTATTTTGTAATATCTTGTTGTACCTCCACTTCTGTACTCTTTCTTTTGCACTACATTCCCCTGTGCTGCTGTGTCAATTTTGAATTTCTTCTAAGGGGGATTAATAAAGGTACATCTTATCTTATCTTATCTTATTAGTTGAGATTCAACAACCATAAGTGTTGTGTAAGCATTTAATCCCCCAAATTTAAATATCAACTCCTTCCCAGCTCATTTTGCACATGGAGAAAAAAAATGTAAGTTTCTATGGTCCAAAGTTGAATACACTGTCAGTAGAATATAAGTGGACTAATTGCACCACCTTGTGGTGTTACTGTGTAGATAGCTGTTTCTGCACTATAAACTATAGAGTTCTCATTAAAATTCCGAACTCCTCCCTTTCAATCTCTCTTTTAACCTGAGGTTATAAAATATAATATATATATATATATATATATATATATATATATATATATATATATATATATTTATTTATTTATTTTTTACAAAAATATTACCACCATTATTATTTATTTGTGATTTTAGCATTTCAAATAACACTATAAAATCACGGTGGGAATTTGTTTTTACTTTATAATATATATATATATATTTTACATCATGTCAGTGAAGGAAGTGTCAGTGCTATTATTCTAAAATGTGTACAATTGTCTTAAGTGAAATGAACATATCTGATCAATGACAATAACTCAAAGACAAGTAAAATCATACTAACAGTTAGATCTTCAGTTTAGTGAATAAAATTACGGAGCGACAAAACGCCGCGTGATTGAATTTGTACTTGGTAATGGTTGTCACCACACTCATGTGACACTGCCAGTACTTGAACGCACCTCCAGTCATGTGTCATTGAGGGAGCAGCGGGCTGGAGAAAGTCAACGGATGCTTGTCGTGAAATAAGTGAATAAAGTTTGTCTAAACGGCGCAGTCTAGTATTAAGTAGTAGTAAGCTGTGCTAACAAGCTTTTTCGTGAGTTTTGTTTGGGACATCTGCCGAATTTGGGGATGAAGAGAGCACAGGTAAGTTAAGTTAAGTTAGCTAGCTATTGATCACGACCCGTGCTCATGCGGAGCCTAGCAAACTTCAGCTAAAGTTCATACTAGCTAACAGACGATATGTTTGCTATAATGTTAATAAGCCCGACTTTTTAACTAATTAAGTGAACTCATATAAATTTACATAACTTTTTATGCAAAGGCGTCTCAAGGACATTCTTACAAAGTAGAATTTCGTCAGGTTTTACCAGTCCATGTGTGGTATTAAATGCGCAACGTTAGCAAAAGGTCAGTGTAGGTCAATAAAACGTGTTAAAGATGATTTCAGATTTCTCTTGTTTCTTTCTTTGTGAGTTATGTCTGGTCTTTCAGTTGAGTTGAGTTTGTGGTTTATTTTGTGAGTGACCTTCCAACTAATAGGAATTCTTACCTGAAAAGCTAACGGTAAATTGTAACCTAACAAAATGTGTGACATTGAAGAGAAGCGTTCATAAACTTTAAATTGAATAAAAACTGGTGACAGTTGTAAAAATAACTTGAACAGTAGTGGAACTATTTGAAGAGCATCAAAGAGGGATGACAGTTCATACCTGTTTCTGTGAGAAAAGCGTTGATGTTCAGACTTCTCCAGGAGTTATATTTGTGATTTACTGTGAATGTTACTGTCTGGAACTGACACTAACATGGATGCATTTTCTTCCCTAAAGTAGCACCTATTGGCTTGACCCAGAGAGGGACTCTGTCCAAACGTGAGCATCTGATGGGTGAGTAATCCCTCAGAGGTCAAGTTTTACGTTCATTTATCTTTTCTTTCTCTATTCATTTCAATGGCATTTCCAAGGTTTTGGTTTCCTGCTGTGTTGGTGTTTGAATAGTGTTGTGTTTGTTGTCCAGTGCAGTCTGTTATACGCTTTGATTTGTTGTTTAAATGATTGCTCAACAGCCATCAGCTACTTGTTTTAATTCCTTGTTTAGCTTTTATCAATTCATTGGTCTGTTCAGGAATAGTAAGCAATTTTAATAGAGTCATTGACTCCATTTGTATTATATCAGAAAGTATGGTTGCTGATGTAGTATTGCATTTCACTAGCATGGCAAAGAGAGCTTAATCATTTTGCAGTAGTTTTACTGCTACTCTGTAACTGCTACTGTCACTAGTATTGTCATCAGTACAACCATCACTGCTAACTTAAGTGCCTAAACTAATACATGTACTGTTAGTGCTATTTCTATTACTGCTAGCCTTACCAGCGGTTTACCATTATATTTTTTATGTAGTCATTCATTCACTCCTTTATTCTACCTAGGTCAAGTCTGTGAAACTGAGTATTCTTGAAACCTTCTGCTTTGCAAGTCCGAGCTTAATGTCCTATTTTAATTTAGTGCAGTAAAGTGTAATTTCGCAAATATTTTGCAATTGTGTTTGATTTACAATCAGTGAACAGGAAGTGTGGAAAAGTTATGCGTTGGCCGGGAATCGAACCCGGGTCAACTGCTTGGAAGGCAGCTATGCTAACCACTATACCACCAACGCATACTGCCGTGGTATTGCGTAACTCTTTCAACTACATACACACAGCCACATCACCTCAACCTCACTTGTTCTGGGAAAACTCTGAACTGGAACGAACAACAATTTACCAAGGTGGTGAAGTTTACATCCTGCACCTTGGCAGTGTTTCACTTTAAGGAATGACCCTCTTAACTAATGCGCTTATAATGAAAGTTTCCGTAGTGTAGTGGTTATCACGTTCGCCTAACACGCGAAAGGTCCCCGGTTCGAGACCGGGCGGAAACAGTCTTTTTCTGTGAGTGTGACAGTTGTCTGTCATACAGTCAGATCAGGTGGCAGCCATGTTATGTTTTTGTTTGAAGTTTTCTGCTATATGGTACTGCACCAGTCTCAGTCAGTCTTTATAAAGTCCTGTGGTAGTTAATCCAACATGAGTTTCCGTAGTGTAGTGGTTATCACGTTCGCCTAACACGCGAAAGGTCCCCGGTTCGAAACCGGGCGGAAACATGTGTTGTTTCTTTTGCTGTCTTTTGATGCTCTTGTTGTTACGACATGTATGAGCATGAGCATGTGTCCAAATCACAACCTGTTACAGCGTTGCCAGTTTAGATTTTAATCTCATGTAGTACAAGCCAGTTTTAACTTCTTTCATGAAGAAGGATGGAAAGAAAAAAGATTAACGCCCAACGTGGGGCTCGAACCCACGACCCTGAGATTAAGAGTCTCATGCTCTACCGACTGAGCTAGCCGGGCTGTGTGTGTTAGGGAAAATGTGCTTTTTTTTCTAGGTCCCTATATGCAAATACACTATATGTTATAAGACAGCCCGAGTTGGAAAGTGTAAATCTCGCAGCTATCTCACGACATTTCACCGAGACACACCCCCTTTTGGTCGTAATTTCAGCCGTCCCACTCGGGGGACCTCACAGTACACCGAGCTAAAAGAGGACGAGCGTACAACCTGCAAAACAAAGATGGCAGCGCCCATATTTGGGTGTATTTTCTTTGTATTTGTACTATGTTGGTCGTTTTAATGTTGATTTTAAATGCTCTTACACACTTGTTTACATTGCTGCTTTAGTCCGGTCACCAATTTATGCAGTGCACGGTGTTGCTGCGATCAAGTAGCTACTTCCGTAATAGCCTATGGGCCAATGGTTTGCACTAAAAAGCCATTGGAGAATTCTTATTTGAAATCATGGATCATCATGCAGTCTTTCTACTGTGGCTGCCCCCTGGAATATCCTCTCTTGACTGACTAGAGCCTGCCTCACTGTCATCAGGAATTGCCTGCGGGCCAGGAGGATAATGTTAACATTTTAAATCTTATAATTTCACTTAACAGTTGCTTATTAGTGTGCCTGGAAAAGCAACTTCAGCTGTTCAACTGCCAGAGTGTTTATCACTAGAGTGGAGAGTGAGAGAAACATTTGTTGAAAAATACATTTGGAAACTGCTCTCAAGGCCACAAATGTCACTCTACAGAAATAATTTATAGATAGAAACGTAGGCAAATCCATTGGGGTCGCCGTGTTAACACTGCTGAAGCTGTCAGACAAATAGTTTTGGCGGGAAACGCACTGATGCGCCAGCAACACCCTCTCATGGCCCCATCTACTCCCATGTTAATTGGAAATTAGAAATTCTGAAAGGAGCTCGTTGAACCTCTCCTTCCTCAATCTCCTGAGGTCACATTTTTTAACTTTAGCCACTGAAACTCTGCAGTCCTATAGTCAACAAAATGACGATGCTCACGGTCTTTTCGGTTTTCATTTTGGTTGTTTTTTTGGTCATTCCTGGCCAATGGTTGAGGGGATTCATTTTGAGATTTTCTGTGTCTCTCAGGAGACAGAGAGAAAGCCTGCAGCTGCTGTGGCCTCCCCTGGTTGCCACGACAACCAAAGCCTGCCTCTCACATCCACGCACACACATAGCTAGCTACAGAGGAGTGTTTAAGGTATTAATAAGCTAGCGCTAGCTTGCTAAAGAGAATGACAAGGTATTAATATATGGGCCAGAGCCAGGCACACTCAAAGTTTCTTTAGGAATTTTCTAGTTAAAATAACATTATACATAAAAATTCAAAAACATTAAAGCTATTCACCTATGGCCTGAAAAGACTTTTATTTTACATTTAGTCTACTTCAGGTAAATGCTGTTTATTAATGTCAGACTAGCTACTCAACATTACAAAACGATAAGCTGCCACATCTGGGAAGGTCAACAGACAACAGGTGTAGGATAGCCTACTTACATTGTTTGTTTTTTGAAAAAACACTCTGATCGTTTCAGATATAAAATCAGAGTACGGTCCAGGAGCGCGGTACACTATAACAAATAGAACTGGCTGCAGTGTTTTCCAGGATGGGTGAGAAAGACTAAGAACAAGGCTTTCAAATGAATTATAATTTAGTTTAGGTTTAGGGTCCATTAAAACACTCGAATCATATATGGCTGCCACTCCACCTCCTCGGCCTGTGCCTCGAGGAATGTGAGTATTAATATGACTGGGGGGGGTGGATTCATTTAGGCCAACATACTCCTTGTGGGACAACCAGGTCTCAGTAAGACAAAGTAAATCAATATCATAGTCTGATATTAATTCATTCACTAAAACAGCTTTAGAGGACAGAGACCTGATATTTAACAGCCCACATTTCATTCTCTTATTTTGTGCTACTGAGGAGTTAGTTTTAATTTTTATTAGATTTTTATGTTGAACTCCTCTTGTTTTTATTTCTTTAAATAATTTCGGTGGTCGGGGGACAGACACAGTCTCTATGGGGTTTTGGGTGGGTGACTGTTCTAAAGAAAGCGCAGAGAAGTGTGTAAGACAGCAGCTCTGCTTCCTGGTCCCAACTCTGGACTGTCAGGTTTTAGAGATAAACTTCGCCATATTTCTAGATAAAAGAGCCGCTCCATCCAAAGTGGGATGGATGCCGTCTCTCCTAATCAGACCAGGTTTTCCCCAAAAAGGCTTCCAGTTATCAATGAAGCCCACATCGTTTGCTGGACACCACCTCGACAGCCAGCGGTGGAATGACGACATGCGGCTATACATGTCATCACTGTCTGCCACGGGAACTTTCCAGTGTTGTCGCCATCACTGTCTATATTCCTCACAGTGGTCTTCATCATCACCATCACTGTTTACATTTATGATGTCCTATTTATTCTCCTGTACAGCACTTTGGTCAACTTTGGTTGTTTTTAAAGTGCTTAACAAATAAAGTTGGATTGGATCACTGGTCACATTGGGCAGGGGTCCAGAGAAAACTGCATAATTACACACCAACTCCACAGAGGGAGAGGGAGAAGCCATAGCTAACTGCTAATGTTACTGAAGCTAGCGTGTATAAAAAACTTTGAAATAGTGAAAAGTCGCTAAAAGAAGGAGTAACTCAGAGTGTTTAGGTAGAACTAGTCTACGTTTAAATGTTAAGCAGGAAAATAACCGCCGTAACAAGTAAAACTAATTTAGATTTAGCGTTCACTGACAGAGCTACAGCACCAAACAGTGTACACAGAGCAGGAAGTAAACCGCAAATGAGTCAGTACGCTTACCCTAGCAGGTAGCACAGGTCACGTGTCAAATGAATTAAACAGTAGAAATTTTTCCACCACAGACTTCTACTACACACGAGTCCTGTCATCTTGAGAAGTTCTCCGATGACTCTGCTGTGGTGGGGTGTATCAGCAGGGGTGATGAGACTGAGCACAGGAATGTGGTGGATGACTTTGTCACAATCTAAAACCTCGTTACTATTTATTTATCTACTGTTTTCCATTTTATTTTTACTGTAAACTATATGTTCATTTCTGTTTTATATATTGTGTTAGAAATTGTATAAAAGTGTTTGTTGTGTTTTTTCCCCCCAGGAAAAAAAAAACTTTACACAATTTTTATAGGGCATCAGTCTCTGTGGCGCAATCGGTTAGCGCGTTCGGCTGTTAACCGAAAGGTTGGTGGTTCAAGCCCACCCAGGGACGCGAAGTATTTTACACCTTCCACTTGCTACAGCATTGATTATCCCGCTCTTACTTCAGGGGCATCCGTTTGAATATCATAATTTCTGCATTAAAAGTGAAAGCCTGTTTCCCCTGATGAATCAAAACTTAAAAGCAAATGTAGCTTAGCAGAGCTTAAACTACACAGATCTTTCATCTTGTGAGGCAGTATGTGTGTCTGTCTCTGTGGCGCAATCGGTTAGCGCGTTCGGCTGTTAACCGAAAGGTTGGTGGTTCAAGCCC